GGCTCACACTACACCCTCATCCACATAGCTCACACTACACCGACACACCCACACCCACATCCACATAGCCCATAATACACCAACACACCCACATCGACATGGCTCACACTACACCCTCATCCACATAGCTCACACTACACCGACACACCCACACCCACATCCATATAGCCCATAATACACCAACACACCCACATCGAAATGGCTCACACTACACCCTCATCCACATAGCTCACACTACACCGACACACCCACACCCACATCCATATAGCTCACACTAGACCCACGCAGCCACAATACACCCACACACCCACACCGACATAGCTCACACAACACCCACACCCACATAGCTCACACTACACCCACACACCCACATAGCTCACACTACACCCACACACCCACATCCACATAGCTCACACTACACCCACACACCCACACCGACATAGCTCACACTACACTCAAACACCCACACCCAAACAGCTCACACTACACCCACAACCACATCCACATAGCTCACACAACACCCACACCCACATAGCTCACACAACACCCACACCCACATAGCTCACACTACACCCACACACCCACATAGCTCACACTACACCCACACACCCACATCCACATAGCTCACACAGCACCCACATAGCTCACACTACAACCACACCCACACCTACAACGACATAGCTCACACAACACCCACACCCACATAGCTCACACTACACCCACACCCACACCCACACCCACACCCACACCGACATAGCTCACACTACACCCACACACCCACATAGCTCACACTACACCCACACACCCACATCCACATAGCTCACACTACACCCACACACCCACATCCAGATAGCTCACACTACACCCACATAGCTCACACTACACCCACACCCACACCCACACCCACACCCACATAGCTCACACTACACCCACACCCACACTCACACCCACATGCATATACATCTTTAACTTAGATACACTTTCTCACTCACTCACTCCATGAACGCAGCTGGACGTCAAGTCTCGGGTCTTACCGGGCTGTATAGGAACCAGGCTATTACCGTTTGCCATATACACATACATAATTCTATTTGTGTCTCGTCAAAATGAGTTCAAAAATATCCTAATTTAGTTTTTTTCTTAGACAGCTCAATCTTCCGTCCCCCAGAGCCAAATATCAGAAACATCTACAACGTCTACATGTGCAGCTGCAATAAACCAATTTGAAAATGTCACTGGTTCTCATTGTGAGCTGTTAAACTTCAAACACAAGGCTTAAGGGATTATTTACTGTATTTACTGTCTTCAGTTGTCATTCAAAACTCACTTTCATGAAATAAACCTAAATTTACACAACAAAATGAGTTTTCGATATGCCAACCCCGAAACTTAGTCATTTTACGGATTTATACATAAAATTTATTAAAACAAGTTAGTTATTTTACAGATTCATACATATTAAAACAAGTTAGTTATTTGGCGAAACGAATGATGATAGCAATAATTCTAGTACTACGCAGTAATTACCATTACATGGTCTCCCCGAGACTGTCTCGCAGCACTTGAACCATATTGATTTCCCTTCCGTCCATAGGTTCAGGTCTGAATCTCACTGGGGCTCCTTTTAAATTTAAATGTTGCTTTTTGTTTCTATCCAAAACATTTATTTTCAGAGACTAGGATATAGTGAAGATCTGTGTTAGAATGGTCTTCGGCAGCCCATGCTTTTCGTAAGAGGCGACTAACGGGATCGGGTTGGCTGACTTAGTTGTTGCATGTCATCATATCCCAATTAGGTGGATCGATGTTCATGATGTCAATCACTGGAATGTCTGACCAAGGGTCAATAATTTGCAAACCGCCGTCGTATAGCTGAAATATTGCTGGGTGCAGCGTTAAACAACAAACAAACAAACATCACATGGTCTCATGTTGTGGTCGGGGGCATGGGTGGCCCAGTCGTCTAAGGCGCCGCGATTCGCTGTGCAGAGTTGCGTCCCTTGGGCACGCCAGAAACCTATGATTGTGGGTTCGAATCCCGGTTCGCCCCGATTATGTTTCTAGGTTTGTCAGCACCATGCCCGTGCTCGTGGGTTTCACCGAAGTGGTAAACGTCTGAGACCTGCATCACTTCGGGCTTTCCTCCCACATTAAACTGACACGCCGTGATATAACTGGAATACTGTTAAAAGCGGCGTTAAACCCAACTCATTCACTCACTCATGTTGTGGTCAGTGAGAGATTAAAAATGAAACAAAACATAAACCAGGTAATGGTGGCCATGCGTCAACTCAGTATATATAGTATGTGTATGCTTTAAGCTCCGGTTATCACGAACGCTTGGAGGTGAGGTGAAATGAGGTTTAACGTCGCGTCCAAGATTATTGCACTTATATAGCGACGTGCATGTACGTGTGTGTGTTTGTGTGGCTGCTTGTACTAGTCCGGACTGATGCCGATTTATAGTGCTAGCTCAGTGAGATACCATGCCGCAGTTTAACATGAATATCCCTCTCAGACACACTTTTCTGACTCCGGGCCGACCAGTCCTTGTTTTAGCCCCTTAATGCCGAGCGCCAGATAGGGTAACAACAAGTACCATCTTTTAACGTTGGTATGACGCGGCTGGGGATCGAACCCAGGACCCCGGACGGAGGCGGGCCAAAGAAAGTTCACACCCATGTTTGATGGTGATCGAAAATGAAACAAATGGTTATTCGATGGTGATGTATTTGATACGGGTATCGTAGATGTGTTTTGGACCAATCTCATTTAAATCAGAACTTAGTTCTCGCTATCGCTAAACAAAGATCTAAGGACATCCCATTACTGGTCACGTCAGAACGACCTTTCAACCCACCAATCAAAGCATCGCTTACCAGATCGTGAAAGTGACAGTCGGGATGTGTTTTCTAATCATGCAACCTCGAAAATGTTAACACGAGGTATTCCGAACGACAGTTACGGACCGTACGACTGATTCCGTCAAGATTATCGTCTATCTCTCGCTTCCGTGGGATAAACATTTGAACAGAGGAGGCGTTGCACAGTACGTGGAAAGCATGCCATACAATCGCAACCATATATTAGACATTCCGGAATGTTCGTTTGTTCAGTTTTCAAAATTTTAATCGAGAACTGTGTCAACATATTTTTAAGCGTAGTCTGAAATGAAAGTCGCCAGGTTGAAACGAGTGCCGTAAAGCTACTTTCTAATTGGCTGATGTCGACTTCTTGTCGAAAGGTCGTTCTGACCTGACCCGTAATGGGATGTCCTCAGATCTTTGTTTAGTGGTAGCGGAAACTTAGATCTGATTTAAATGAGATTGGTTTTGGACCTAAAGTTATCAGTGTGTCAGCCTAGTAACGTTTTGATAACGTTTGTAATGTTTTCATCAAATCCAATTTCCAAGTGTACCTTTTCTTTTGCCTGGCAGTTTACAAACTCTAATAAAACGGGCTCTAGATAGGAGATTAACATGAGTGTATAAAGCGTTTTGGCGAGATAAACAGTTAAAACAGAATGTCGAAAGAAAATCTAGAATTATGTAAAGTTAAGTTGGAGATGCTTTTATGAAACGGGATCAATGAGACTGTGTATGGTGAGTTGGCGAGATAAACAGAATTTCGATATACACGACTTTGAGATAAAGGGATAAGAATCATTGTGTAAACAGTCGGGGCCACGACATTGGCACAAACACTGCTATACTGTGTGAACAGGGGCTTGTGATGCCGCAGCTGACGGCAGACACTGGCAGTCTGTGTACGCAGTACTTGATAACACCATGCAGATGTAACACAATATTAACAGCTTCTACCGGCATGATTCACGTCTATGTTACGAGCTATCTTCTTGATGTACATGAACATGCGAGGATACAACGATAAATCTTCTTCTTTTTTCTTCCCTTTTTTCCTTTTTTTATGTTTGTTTGTAGTTTTTTTGCTTTTTGTTTGTTTAGTTTGTTGGTTGTTGTTTTTGTTATTTGTTGTTTTGTTTGTGTGTTGTTGTTGTTGTTTTCTTTTTTTCTTTTTCTTTCTTTTTTTTTGGGGGGGTGGGGGGGGGGGGGTGGGGGGGGGGTGGGGGCGTTTTATTGGCATAAAAGGCGACAAACGGGATCGGGTGGTCAAGCTCGCTGACTTAGTTGATGCATGTCATCGTATCCCAATTGCGTTGATCGATGCTCATGATATCAATCACTGGATTGTCCGGTCCAGATTCTATTATCTACAACTTGCCGTCATATCGCCGTAATATTGCTGAGTGAGGCGTTACAAAACAAACAAACAACATAAAACTATTAAAAAAAGGAAAATTAATAATTCGGGAAACAATTTGTGATTCAGTACACACGTCAACGCGATTTATATGCTTAGTGATAGTGATTTATAAACACATGCTCACGATATAGTCAGAATCGTACAATCGACTCTGCTTTTGGCAGAGATTTTTATGAATATTGAAAGGCTTTCGTCGCCTTTTAAGAAAAGGTCATGGGCAGGAGTTGTTCCTCTTGATCACCAGAATTCGAAACCCCGGTACATACAATCTTGACAAACCACACAGATTAGTGTGAATTACAACTTGTGTGAATTTTATGAGTATGTTTGTAAGAATAGTTAGAAAACCTATGGTACATCGAAGTAAACCGGAATCGGTCACCTTGTTACCGTTATGCGTTGTAAACATATATCCGACGATGAAATATCTACAGGGTGTATATGTTCTTAAGCTGAAGACAGGGTACGTCAAACAATGATGTACAGTGTAAACAATCAGACAACAAGACGAGCCATGTGAACCTGTCTATTAATAAACCAGAGAGGCAACTGGCATTTTCGCCATGCATGTGTTTTTCATACGAGAGTAATTCTGCCGGCTATCCCCACACGCAACTAATGATATAACGACCCCCTCTGGAGGCACAGAGGGAAGACCCTCTCTCTATCTCTCGAACACGGATGAGATTTCATACCTCCTTAGATACCGACTTTCAGCCCGTTGCCAAGGAGAACGGACCACAGCTTGTGAACTACCCATCAGATGAAAAACGAGGCGAAGACCTCGCTGCGAGTTTTAAAACGTCTTTACAGTTTTTATTCCGTGATAAGGACGTGTGTGATTTGGGCAAACTGGTAGTTATATCATCTGTAGGAGCAGAAGTTATCGAAGAAATACGATATTTCAAGGTTCCATTTTGAGCGAGAGACGTTGGAGATATATCCGGATGACTCGATGATGCATACGAGAGTTTACTCATCTCACGAGATCAGACGAGACTAGCGAGGGGAGCAGACGACAATTGGCCACTTGGGATACTGCATGAATGGTTGCTGCCGCCAGTGATGGCGAGGAACTGACCACGATGTGAAGACAGAAGGATCACTCAGTATTCTCACCATGTATCAGCGACGTAACTCTCTTTCTAGGGACCTGGGGTATTATAACGTAAGTGTTGATTTTGTTTTGTTTTTATCCGCTGTACATCTGTAGGTTTAGAGAACACCTTGCCTCGCTGTCAGAGGTTGTAGACACATTCGATTAGTGGTTATGCCCGGAAGAGGTACTACTACGCATCTGTGCTCCCTCCTGAAGCAGTAATTAACACAGGGATACTGTTTCTTTCATCTTCAAGCCTGTGGAATTGGAAATGTCTCAATTCAATTGAAGGAAGAATAGTAAATCTACGCAGGCCAAAGTAATGGATAAAATATGTTTACTCACATTGTCGGTTTGGGCCATGCATGGCGCCGTTATTTTATAAATTTGAATTGTTAGTAATATTTAAGTCCAAACGTGAAATGTGTTAGAAAGCTATTAAAGCTAGAGCAAAATATAGAAATGTTTAAAGTTTTAATTAAAGCTTTCTAAAATTTTCCGATGAAAAGATAGATGATACATTGAACTGAGTTCACACCAGTAATCAGACTCACATCTCACGCTATAGTCCTGCACCATGACCGTGGAATATATTTATTTTATGAAAAAATAATAATCTAGAAATGCATACAAAAGCAAGTCTAGCCATCTCAAGCTAGCTCTATTCCACAAATCAGCATAGAGAATTTTTTTTATTTTTAGAGTCAAGAAGGATATTGTGTAATATAAGATTTCAGAGACTAAATGTTAGTCTACTCACGCTAGTTTGTGTAGGTAATAGCTAGGTCCTTTCGTATCCCTATAGTTTCATGATCCGGTTGTTTTGTATCCATTCTGTCTTTTCGTAACCATGAAGCAAACGTAGGAACGGTACCTATCATGTCTAAGTGTAAGTGTATGCTTTTAGTAACCTACATTAACACCGAACTTGCCTCTAATCTTAATAAAGTTGTGTAACGTCTTTATGTAATTATTTATACGACATTGTTAAGCACAAATGTATTTGATTATATATGACGATTATGAACAAATAAGGATACAGAGCCACTTTAACTTATTGTGAAAATTGGCCAATAAAATATAATCTCCAACTATCTAGCCAGCCGCTACATAATCAATCCGGGTACCGAAGCCACCAGAAAGTAACGAAACTTCCGGCGTACGAAATCACATGAGACCTTTGAATATATTTAGCAGCGACCAGTGACCAAACACTATTGACACTGGAATCTATGATATGTTTAGCTGAGGAATCAATAATAAAGGTCTGCCCGACTTCCCCTAGTTTCTGTTTTCCGAGCTAGAGCAACCAGCTACATGGATATATAACCTTAGCATTTCCACAAGGTTGATGTGCTAGACTGTTAACTGATATATGAGTGAGACATGAATAATACCACCACACTTTTCTGTTACCTTTTCGTCAGCTGATTTTTTGTGTTCCCGAGATTATTGTACATGGATGCTGCTTCTATCTGAACTGTGCGCGTGCGGGAGGGGGAGAGGGTGGGGGTGGGCGGGGGTTTGTGCCTGGCTTGTCATGTTACATCACTACATCCCCACGTGCCCCCTACACATGCCTATCTGTCAGTTGCGCCACACTGCACATCGGCACATGCAGTGGAATGTATGAAGCATTTAACCTTTGAATCAACATCAATAGAGTTCCTCTTGTGGAAACAGAAAGGACATTGGCATCAATGAACCCCTAAGGCATCAATGAACCCCTATTGTATTATATGCCTAAAAATCTTGAAAAGGAAACGACAAAAATATCAGACACGTCCCCTGGTCCGTTAGTCCGAGACTACTGAAAAAATAGAGAGACTAGTTTTCTCACAAAATCTAGTTATTTTGCACAAGTCACTAGTCTAAAATGAGCTTCGGACTAGTTGGGTATGACGAATGGTGTCTACCCCTGAATATGTACCCAACTATCTGTGGCAATGTGTTTACATTGGCAGATGTATAAATGAGGAGCCATATACCGATATGGTCTCTGGTATCGATATTCAGATGGGCATTACAATATCGGGACTCAAAGAGCGGAAGGGAATAATTTCTAGGATACCAAATTTTGAAATGTATGTAAAATGTATCTTTTGCAGTTTGATAGATCTAAGAGTATTCAGGGAAGTTTTCTAAGACGGGATACATATTACCGGGTTATAGTGCATCAGTCGGGCAAAAAGAAACAGTATGATGAATCAAACCATTTTATCAGAGACAAAACATAAAAGCAAGTATAATCCAGCGTGTGTAACACGAGAAAAAACGATCACCTTCGAAGACAATGTTGGTGTAAAGGTTTTTTCAAGAATTAAACAGTTCTGCACATTTAACGGGTGTAATTACGACACCAAGACCCCTGTGATGATGTCGTTGTGACGATGCCAGTGGGTGCCAGACCCCCCGTGAAGCACTGACGACCTCAGCCCCCAGTACGTATTGCGATGGATATATCATTGCAGCAGTCTACCACATGTGCTGACCCCACCCCCGCCCAGCTCCCCCTCCCCCTCCCTCTTTGAGTCGCGATACTGTAATGCGCAGTTGAATACCGTTCCATATGCTTCTGGAATGTATCTTTTATTCATCTGCCAATGTAAACACAGCGCTACAGGTTTGTGGGTACATATTGCCTAATACCTATCGGTGTGAATCCATTTGGATTCCAGTTAGTCAGACCCTGAATCATTTTCTGCGACAGTTGTCTTGTTTGAGGATTCGATCTTGTCTGCGTAATGGTATTTTTTTAGAAATGCTATTGTCAATCTAAGGGACCATTTGATATTCTGGGGTGGGGGCTGGCATTTCTTCTCTCACACACACACACACACACACACACACACACACACACACTTGAAAACTTGTTGAGGATGTCGTATCTACTGGCATCAGTTACACTTCTCCATATATCCTTTTTGTTATCTTTTTATAACATGTAAATAAACGATGTTCATAAACACCAGCAGCACACTCGCAGACACAGCAGCGCTTGTGTGATGAGCAGTTAACTGTGATATAAAAACACAAAACCCTTTTTACTCCATGTTCTTCTTCTGCTAGCGCTACTGGCAATGACATGAACGTCCGAGCTGCTGGCAACTGCCCAGGTATCGAGTAACGATTCCCGTTGCAATAATCACTGGAGCTATAAAGCAGATTCTGACATTTGGCTCCAGGTTTTTGCCTAACATGCGAATAATTGGCATTTTGTCGAGTCTAGCGTTCATGGCGATACAGTTAACATCAGGTGGGGAGAGCGCTATAACCAATAACAGGTGTTCAATACATTTACCTTACAAATAGTGTAGATCTACTCCTATAACGTGGCGCCGCTGGGTCAGTGTACCCTCTATACAGATGCATACAGAGAACTCGGGTTAGGATACCAAATGCTCAGCGTCATTGATGGTTTCAAGGAAATGCCACCGGTATTATCAACATAAGTCTCATATTGTTACTGATATAAATTGTTCCAGAAAATGCTTGACAAAAATAATTATGCTTAATTCTGCTTCAGATTTTCTGATACAAAAATACATTCTTGCAGAACTGTAGCTGAAAATGTCTGGTCTCCATACAAAATCCCAGCACCCCATATGAAACTATACAGGCTTTTGGAAAACATTTTGTAAAACCAACATAAACCATATGATTCCTACCATGGCACCAATATGTTAGACTAACATCTAGTCTCTGAAATGAACATACTTCACAGAAAAAAACAGTTGTTAAAATTATAGTTATGAAATATATTAAAAAGGAGGCAAACGACGTTCCTCATTTTCATTGATACTGCAGTAATCTAGACTTGCCAAATATTATTATAAATACTATGCCCTTGCAAGGGCTGTATTGGATCTATTTGTTTCGGGGTATGTATGACTACCGGTATGTCTGAAAAGGTAGAGGCAAATATGTCAAGGAAACTCTACCATTTAGCTAATTCGTAACGTACATTTTAGGTATTGCCTTCTGTTTGAAACGATACACGTTAAAACGCTTACCGGTACACTTCCTGGTAATCTATTACATGCGGAAAAGTAGTAATCCATTCCTTATAACAGGGGCACTTGTTGCATAACATTGTCTTTTATAACACGCAGACATGTAGTAATATGTGAACATTTATAATACAGTTACCCGTAGAAAAATCCTGTATAACATCATTCCATACAGTCGACGTGTAATGGCATTTCAGTTACCCGTTGCGCTTAAAGAGTGAGTGAGTGAGTTAGAGACTGAGTGAGAATGGTTTTAGCAATATTCCAGCAATATCACAGCTGAGGACACCAGAAATGGGCTTCACACACTGTAAACATGTGGGGAATCGAATCCGGGTCTTCGGCGTGACGAGTGAGTGAGTGAGTGAGTATGGTTTTACGCCGCTTTTAGCAATATTCCAGCAATATCACGGCGGGGGACACCAGAAATGGGCTTCACACATTGTACCCATGTCGGGAATCGAACCCGGGTCTTCGGCGTGACGAGCGAACGCTTTAACCACTAGGCTACCCGACCGCCCCTTCGGCGTGACGAGCGAACGCTTTAACCACTAGGCTACCCCTCCGCCCTTTGCCCTATAAGAACGTGTATCATCTGTCTTGATGTATCATCTTTATTGAGTACATGCCGTCTCTCAACTCTGTAGTGTTCCCTTTCTGCGTCAGCTATATTCGGGGTAATGTATAGGATGTAATTCTCCCGCACAAGTCTATTACTGGCATTATTGAAAAAGGCTGGCTCAGGTTATGAATCGTATTGCTTTCCAAAATAGACCCAGATTCTTTTGGACAAGGATTAACCATTATCGAATATTGATATGCTACAGTCCTGTCTGGTGCCTCTTCATCTGGTATTAGCGCTCTTGTTGTGGGTCAGATGGCTCTCTGGGTAATGTTCCTGTCAGTCAAATAGATACTACTTCACTTTGGTTAGGGATATGGTTTATCTCTGCATACACAAGTGTATATTTAAATTATGACATCTGATTTTCACTATTAAAAGTTGAGTTGTATAACTCAAATGGACGCGTGATTGAAACATTAACGTTTTTAATTATA